GTTTTTAAATAACTGAAGGAAATGCTAAATTTCAATTAGAGATTCATGAAAATAGTGATGTAATTTTTTTTCCCATCCAACTTCACAGGCCCCCTGAAATCTCTCCATGGATCCCAGGTTAAGGACTTCTGTCCTGGCGGCAAGAGGAAGCCCATGGAGCAGCCTGAGTAGAAGCGTGACGTGGTCAGATAGGTATTTTATGAATATCAATTTGACAGCAACATGGAGAGGACAGCCCAATTACTGCAATGGTCCAGACAAGAGACGATAGATGAGGGCTTAACTAAAATGACAGCCGTCTGAGTAAATGGATGTGAAATACACTGAAGGCAGAATTAACAAAAGGAGACAATTTATTTAATACGAGGGTGAAGGTGAATTGAAGATGGCTCCAAAGGTTGTTAAGGTTGGAGGGGGAAACTGAATTGTTTTGGATATGCTAAGTTTGAGATACCTAAGTGACATGTGATTGGAGAATCCAACAGAAAAGTGGTGATACAGGGCTGGATTTCAGAAGAAAGACTGAGTCTGGATATAGAGGGAGTCATCTGCATAAAAGTGATAGTTGAACCCATGGGAGCTGATGTGGTCACAATCACCTGAAAGAGTAGAGGGAAAAAAATCAAAGAGGGAGGGGGGAGGAGGTTGAGACAGGGATGATGATCCAGCAAAAAGGACTCTAGGCCAATAGAATAAATGCATTCCCTAGCACAACTACTGACATTTATGATACTTTAAAGATTGCAAAAGATTTTTACATACAATATTCTGAACTTCATAACACCTGTGAAATTAAATTCTATAGATACTGCCCTCATTTTGACACATTAGGAAGCAGAGAGGGAGGTTAAATGACTTGGACATTGTCACTCGACTAGAGGTTGAAGTTAAACCTAGGTTTTTAACTCCAATGTCAGCACTCTTATTCACTAAGCCATAGTGCCACAAATAAATCCAGCACTCTAAATACAGTATAACTATGGCAGAGGACAGTGGAGAATGTAGATCTTATCCTTTTAATTAAAGCAGCCTAAAAAACTAAACACAATTTGGCAACTAAAAATTAATATTAAATTGCCAAAAATCTATCTAAATTAAATATTAAAGCACTATAAAGTCTGATTTATAAGTGAATGCCCATAAAATTTCACTAGAAACTAAATAAAATGGGAAGACATTTTTCTGAATGCTAGATAAGACCTCAAGTTTTTTTTTTAATTTATTTAATTTATTTTGATTTATCAACAATCACTTCCATATGCTTTTGAGTTTAAGATTTTTCTCCCCCTTCCTCCCCATCACCCTCCCCCAGACTGCGCACAATCTGATACAGGCTATACGTATACATTCCTATTAAACATATTTTCACATTAGTGATGTTCTAAGTAAAAATAAGAACCAATAGGAGGAACCACCAGAAAGAGGAAACAAAACTCAACAGAAGAGGGTAAAAAAATAGCAAACAGTATGCTTCAATCTGAATTCAAATTCCATAGTTCTTTCTTTGGATGTGGATAGCATTTTCCATCACTAGGCCTTTGAAGATGTCTTAGAAGATCTCAATTTATTAAACTAATAGCTAAGTATCTCATTAGTTATTTGGCACTTGAGCACATAAAGTAAAAGTAATGGAATTAATGACATAACCTAGGTGTCATCCTGGACTCCTCACTAACTCTCACCACCAGCTCCATCCAATCTTTGGCTAGTTGATTTCATTTTTTCAGCAGCTCTCATATATGCCCCTTTTTCTCCTCTGACACCACCCTGGTATCAGCTCTCATCATCTCACACTTCGACTACTGAAATAGCCTATTTGGTGGGTTTGCTGGCCTCCAGTCTCTCCCCTCACCGCAACTGAGCATCCACTTAGCCACCAAAGTAATTTTCTTAAAGCACAAGTCTAGCCATGTCACCCTCCTACTCAATAAACTCCAGTGGTTCCCTATTGCCTCCAGGATCAAATACAAAATACAAAAAAATCTGTTTAACCTACCGAGCTCTTCTTATACTTTCCTCACCACATACTCTTTGATACAGTGACACTAAACAGTATAGGTTTATTTTTCCCTTTTATTTATACAAACTTCTTCCATAACCAAATTTACCATTAAAATATAAGAGCATAAGATTAACTTTCATATGCATATTTGATTTACCTTGTACATGGTCTGATTTAAGTTTCAATTGTTTGAAACTAAACATGCTCAATAAGCATATCGTTACTACATATTACTGTGGTCTTCATTTCTATATGGACTTTTCCCAATAAACTAATTTTAAAACACATCAAGTTGGTTGAACAGAGTCACTGGCATGATTACCTAATAATGAAAGTTAGAATATTTGGACAAGCACAATTCCTTGCACACAGGTGGTATATAATAAATGCTTGCTGACTTGAACTGACCTATCCTGTAATGCAGTTGCACAAAAAGATGCTAACTTAACTACCATTCTATCTATAGTGTTTTCCAACTGCTAGACCCCTATCATAGCCAATGGTCTTCAATTTGGTCATATTTACTGCACAAATATTAAAATGAACAAAAAAAATGGCTATGCCAGTCATGAATACACACACACATTATATTTTATATTTATATTGCAAAGCAAAATAAAAACATTTAAATGAAGATATTTTTCAATAGAAGTTTATGATGGAATTGATAACAAAGACTATTTTTAAAAAATTGTTAAAAGTTCTAATTTCATTTTTTTCCCTAACTTGCAGGTCTTTTTTCATCCCCAAACCTGTATAAATAATCCCGTTACCAACCTCTCAGAAACAGTACCTCAGGAGTTAAAATATTACATCAGTAAGAGGTTGAAACTTAAAGTTGCACAAGTGTTACAAAAGATAAAGCAACTTATCTACTCTAATTTCCTCCTAAAGAAGTATATCGCTTATTTAAAAATGAAAAGTAACATACATTAGGCCAACATTCTTTCTGTGAAATATTACCTAACCACTAGATAGAAAAGCATCTTTAAAAATTTCAGCTAAGAACTGTAATAGGAGATACATGGAGGTAATTACAAAACAATTGGAAAGAAGATCTAGTCTTGGCTAACTCGAATTTGGCCTAAAAGAAGAGGCTGAAGAGCCTGATTGATTACAAATTTCTGCCACAGCCAAATATCTACAGAGATAACCTACCAGCAGAACACTACTACTTAATTACAATTCTTTTGTGTCATTTAAAAAATACATGCTCCTTCATGAGCAAGCATTTAAATTCTTAGTAAATACTAAAAAAAGGCAAAAGAACACTAGAAATCTGAGCACCTGTGTACAATCCATATAATGAAGAAATATTTACAGCAAAACAGCTATTAAACGTAGTACATTTTCAAATGAAACTTTGTAAGAATTTTTTTAAAATACCTATCTGCATTAATTTCTATTACTATTTCTAATACTCTTGCAAAGTACTTTCACATTTTAAACTCATTTGATATTACCTACCTCACAAAATTATAATACTTTACACATCTAAAGTGCTGTCCATTTTGCAACATGCTTTCCTCAAAATGATTTGGTGATTTAGGTAGCAAAATTATTATTAATCCCATTATCTTAATTTACAGATAAAGAAACTGAGTCTAAAGTTAAAGACAATAAGTGACTTGCACCAAGGTCACACTGGCAACTAAGCAGTGAAATCTGAACTTTAACCCAGGTCTTCTGTGGTCCAGAGCTTTCCCTGTTTCTAGTGTGCCAAATGCCAGACTTTAAGAGCTGTGAAAAGTGTTCTTGATATTTCAATCAATTTATTGAGCATCATAATATGTGTTCAAGGTACTTTTACTGAGGCAATTGGAAAGAGAGGAAGAATATAAAGCGATTATCCCCTTTCCCCCAAGGAGTTCACAATCTAAGGAAAAATATGAAAAAAGTTCAGAGACACTTTATAAGGCAGAAGGTGATTAACTGCCAAATGGATGCTGAGCTCTGACAGACTAGTAAGTGGTGTCAGATCACTGTGAACTGACCTGGGTTACAGAAACAGTCCTTTTGGCCTTCAAGACAGATTCAAGACAATAAGAGCTTTTTGTTTGTTTGTTTAAGGAATCACCAATCCCGAAAGAAAATTCGCACTTAAAAGAGGGGAAGGAGAAAGCGGTAGAGTCAAGATCGTGGCACCAGAATGCACCACCCAGGTGGTCTGGAATTGTCTCAGGATCCTCTTGCAAGCTTTTCATCTCTGGGCCTTTCATTAACAAGCTCCAGGGTGGAACCCTGGCTAGACTCACCGCTGTGGGGCTGGGGAAGCATTGGCCCAAATCGAACCTTCCCTCCCCATCCCCTCCCGTGAGCTCTCGGGTTGGGGCGGATGCCCGAGCATCTTCCCGCTGCTCCCGTCTCGCTGCCCACTCCCACCTCCCCCAAATCTGGCTCTGTCTCCAAGCTCATCAGGCAGAAGCATCTCCCAGCGGCCGGGGGAGGTCGAAGACAAGTTGGGGCGGGGGTGGTGAAGGCTTGGGAAAAAATGCAGCGCCTAGGAGGTCCCGAGGACTCGGCCACAAGCCGCCCGTCCACTACCACCTCCCCCCGTCTCCGTCCGGATTCCGCGTGTCCCTGCACCCTGGCACGCCCCTCTGCAGCCAGAGCGGAGGAGAACGCCGAACGCCGGCCCTGAGTGACAGCCCCCGCCACCTGCGCTCGCACCTCCGCGCCCCTCCCGGGCCGAGGCAAGGGGGTCGCGGCCACGCTTCGCGGCCGCCCCCGATCCCCGGCCCGGGCTAGTCCCCGTGGCCCTCCGATCGCCCCCAGGTGACAGGTCTCCCGGGAGGCAATTATAAGTGCGTGTGGCCCGGCTCAGAGGGCGCCACCAACTGTCCTTCCCGCCGCCGCCGCCTTCCCCAACCACGCCGCCGGGGAAGGGCGGCTGCTGCCCCCGGGACCGGCGAGGCGGTGACACGTCCCTCCCCCAACCGCCCCCTCCTCAGGTTCCTGGCTCGCGGCTAGGGAAAGCGGCGGCGGCGGGGGCACTCACTGCGGAGATTTTGGATGAGCTCCGAGTGACTGGCCCCGCCGGACTTCCAGGCCATCGCGAGGCACGCCTGGAACACGAAGAGAACCAGCTTCAGCGCGGCGGCGGTGCCCAGCAGCTTCGCGAGGAACTCGACCACCTCCCACACCGACACCGCCCCGTCAACGTCCGCGTCCCCGGCGCTACCGCCGCTGCCTCTGCTGCCGCTGATGCTACTGCTGCCCCCGGGGCCGCTGCGCGCTCCCGACATCCCCCACTGCGCGCATGCGCTCTGTGACGGGGCAGGGCCGCTCGGGTGGGGCTGGAGGCGGTGGCGGCGGCGGCGGCTGCTGCAAAAGGAAAAAAAAAAAGCCGGGCTGACTCAGCGGCCCCTACGCTATCTCCTCTACGCCGCCCCCACCCCCCACCGCAGTGGCATCCCACCCCTTTGCTCTGAGCTCTTCCTCCGCTGCCTGTCCAGAGGCCCAAGTCTGGACAGGAAAGGGACATGTATGTTCCGCTTCCTGGGGATTTTAAGGACGATCTAAGCAAGCGAGCGAGGTCGTTGGCAGCAGCTTGCGCGTCTCGGGGACCGCGCTTCTCCTCGTGCACACCAACTGCTGTTTAGTCCGGGGCCGTCCCTGCGCCTCTGGCAGGGGTGATGGCGCCCTAGCTGCGGGTCGTACTGCAGCCCGCCGAAGGTCAGGGTTCGCAGGTGGTGCTGCTGCCGGATCCTAGTCCAGGTTCCAAATTGCTAGGTGGCAGACCAGAGGGAAGAGGCGTCCTTTAAGGGCTCCCTTAAGCCACGTTGCCCACCACTTACTTTTTTTAGTTTAAAGTGACATAAGCCCTTTAGTTAAAACGATAGTCTAGGGACTAAAGGCGGCGCGGGGCACTTTTGTATGCAATACGTACTCCTGGCCTTTATTACAAGCACACCACCACCAGCAGCAGTATGTGGCAGGAGGTAGGGTGCACCCTTGCTGTACCTGCTCCTAAAGTCACCTGTCGTTTGTCCTCTCTCCAACTTCCTTTCTAATGATGAACATGAACCATGGCAGAAAATGGTGTGAGGGTTAAATGAAATCATGCATTAACAACAGCTATATTGAAAACAAAGGTAGCAGAACTTCCAAGTGGGAAGGGGACAAAGAACAAATGCTTATTTCATTTTTTGTTTTGCTAAGGATTTAAGATTTTATTCCGTATTTGAACGTTTGATTTTGTTGTTGCTGTTGGTAGTTTCATCAAAATTAAGCTAAATTTTATGGAATAGCTGGAAGGGACTTTCAAAAGGTCATCTAGGGGCAGCTAGGTGGCGCAGTGGATAGAGCACCGGCCCTTGAGCCAGGAGGACCTGAGTTTAAAGGCGACTTCAGACACATGACACTCGCTAGCTGTGTGACTCTGGGCAAGTCACTTAACCCCAATTGCCTCACCAAAAAAAAAAAAGAAAGTCATGTAGTTCAACCTAGTTTACTGCAAGCCACGTAACCACCTTGGGCCTCTGTTTCCCCGTCTGTAACGTGAAGTTGAACTAGATGTTTTCTGAGGACTCTTCTAGCTCTAGATCTATGATACTGACTTGGCCAAGTGTATTCTGACACTAAATGCCCCATTCTTTCTTCTATACCTAGAAATGTGGCGCAAAAATAAGTTTAATAAAAAATTAACCACTTTTTGCCCTCTAATTTTGCATAATTGCTTAATCCTTTTATTTAATCCACCCTACTCTAAATCCCTAAATTTTTCTCAAGGGAAACAAAGTTGGAGGAAGAGTTGAGAGCAGATAATGAGTAATTATGCTAGCCAGCTCAAATGCTACAGTTTGCCAATACAAATGAATCAACTATCCTCAAAAGGATAAACACTCCACATTATCCAGTGATGGGTGGGTTACTCTCTCCCTGACAAGCATGCAGTTTCAGCAAACTAAGATTCACATATTACACAATTGGTCTGGGCTTCAGCTCTGTTGTGATCAGCTTTATTGCAGATGAGCTCAGAGCAGGCAGGGAACCTTCCTATCAACATCATCCAACCAGCTTTGAAGTTGGTTGCCATAGGGTGGTCTTTCAGAACCCCATCACTGAACAATTTTGAATGAAGTATAGCTGCAAGTAAGCCTTCAGCAAGTCACTGTGCTGCGGCTGTACTAGCCGCAAGTTTTCTGGCTCTCTCTCTCTCTTACAGTCACAGAAACATGACTGGAAATCTATTCCCCAATCTGCAATACAGAGAAAACAATACCTGCTTGCAAACTATTTTGGGGATTCTGTGACCACAAATGAAAAAATACATATCACGAAGGTGTGAAATAAATGCACTATGCTGCAGAATGAGATCTGATGACTGGAATAATTTGGTTGCCTTAATTGTAATCATTCAATGAGTATTAGTTGACTGAATAAAACTGTCGTTTGGAGAATGCAGTAAAAATTCAATAGGTTCCTACTACATTTACTTGCAGCTACTCGATGTTCTTTTAGCTTGGAAGGATGGGGGAGAGCCAGAGAGGCTCTAGAAGCCTTTCTCAGGAATCTGATAACCCTCTTCAAAGCTGACCCAGATGGATTAGATTAGCATGCCCTGCCTTAGTTAAGCTGTTGCTGAAAAACAGCTTCCAGCATCATCATAGATCGAAAAAAAAGAAAAACTTCATAGTTCCCTTTTTTGAATAGCATCCTGCTATGCACTGTGAAAACCTCCTCTCAAGTAGTTTATCATCTAGTTGGTGACATAAAGCATACATTACCAGAAGATAACTAATGATGAAAGCATATATGATATATGCCAAAGGAGGGATATAGACCATAAGCGTTCCGAATAATGAGACTGAGGGGGTGGTTGGGAAATACAATATTAATCATAGCTCAATGCAGTGAGGGCAAAAGAAAGGCAGTTAAATAGGGTAGAAAACAAAGTTGCCAAGGGTGACACTTTAAAAATATTCCTTTTTTAAAAATTCACCATTCCTTTTTTAAAAATTCACATATAGGCCAGCAGCAAGAGATAGTAAGAAAAATTCCATTTAAAGTAACTGTAGACAATATAAAATACTTGGGGGGTCTACCTGCCAAGACAAACCCAGAAATTATATGGACACAACTACAAAACACTTTTCATACAAATAAAGTCAGATCTTAACAATTGGAAAAATATTAATTGTTCATGAGTAGGCTGAGCCAATATAATAAAAATGACAATTCTACTTAAATTTATCTATTCAGTGCCATACCAATCAAACTATCAAAAAAAATATTTTATAGAGCTAGAAAAAATCATAACAAAATTCATCTGGAAGAAAGAAAGCTCAAGGATATCAAAGCAATCAATAAAAAAAAAGTAAAGGAAGGTAGTCTAGCTGCACTAGATCTCAAACTGTATTATAAAGCTGTAATTATCAAAACAATCTGGTACTGACTAAGAAATAGAGTGGTAGATCAATAGAATAGATTAGGTACATATTACATTATAGTAAATGACCACAGTAATCTGAGATACGATAAATTCAAAGATCCAAGTTTTTAGAACAAAAACTCATTATTTAGCAAAAACTGCTGGAAAAACTGGAAAAGAGTATAGCAGAAACCAGGCATAGACCAACATTTCACACTATATACCAAAATAAGCATAATTATCAAAACAATCTGATACTGACTAAGAAATAGAGTGGTGGATCAATAAAGTTGATACCATACACAAATGAGGAGAGCAGGATATAGTTTATCTGTCAGATCTATGGATAACGAAGAACTTTTGACCAAACAAGAGATAGAAAACATTATAAAATATAAAATAGATTACTTTGATTACCATAAAATTTAAAAAGTTTTCACACGAAGTCAATGCAATCAAAATTATAAGGAAAGTAGAAAACCAGGAAAAATTTTTGTAATAGGTATTTTTGATAAAGGCCTCATTTTTCAAAGATATAGAGAACTGAGTCTAATTTATAAAAATTTATAAAAATACAAGTCATTGCCCAATTGATAAACTGTCAAACAATATGAACAGGCAGTTTTCAGAAGAAAAAAATCAAAGCTATTTATAATCATATGAAAAAATGCTCTAAATCACTATTGATTAGAGAAATGCAAATTAAAACAACTCTATGGTACCACCTCACACCTATCAGATCTGCTAATATGACAAAAAAGAGATAAGGATGGATGTTGGAGGGGATGCATACCCTTTGATCCAGCAATATCATGCTACGTCTATATCCCAAAGACATAATAAAAGGGGGGGGGAAGGACTTATTTTTATAAAAACATTTATAGCAGCTCTTTTTGTGGTGGCTAAGAATTGGAAATCAAAGGGATGTTCATCAATTGGAGAACGGCTAAACAAGCTGTGTATATCATTGTAATGGAATATTATTGTGCTATAAGAAATGACAAGCAGGATGATTTCAGAAAAACCTGGAAAGACTTACATGAACTGATGCAAAGTGAAGTGAACAGAACCAGGAGAACATTATACACAGTAACAGCAACATTGTTGGATGAAGAATTGTGAATGACTCAGTTATTCTCAGAAATACAATGATCCAAGAAAGTCCCAAAAGACTAATAATGAAGCATATTATCTGCCTCCAGAGAAAGGACTGATACAGTCTGAATACAGACTGAAACATGCTATTTCTCACTTTCTTTCTTTCATTCCTTTTCTTTTATTCAAATCTTTTTGTACAAAGTGACTAATATGGAAATGTTTTACATGATTGCACACGTATAACCTATATTGGATTGTTTACCATCTCAGGGAGGGGGAAGGACAGGGATGGAGGAAGGGAGGGATAGAATTTGGAACACAACGCTTAAAAAAAGCCAAATGTTTAAGAAAATTGTTTTAACATGTAATTGAGGGAGAGAAATAAAATATATTATTTTTTAAAATTCATATGTATTTAGTGCTAAAAAGTTTTGCTGACCATGACACAATTTTGTGATATCATTTTATAATCTTATCATGTGTGAGAAGCATCCTGTGTAAAGTAATATAGAGAAAAATTTTCAAATATTGTTTAGAGCACACAATTTTCTTTTTAACTAAGCTTGTCATTTCACTGACATAGGGAAGTTCTAGAGTGAAAATTCTCTGTCTCAACGCAGATAGGCTTCCATTCTACAACTTATATAGTCTTGGAAAGTTGCCTGGAGCACTAAGAGGTTAAATAACTTGTGTAGCCCAACAGAAACAGTAGGTATCAAGACTTGAACCCAAGTTTTCTAGTTTTCTATCAGCCATGCCCTGCTACCTCTCAGAAATACCTTTGTAGCAGCTGTAGTAGGTGTAAGAGTAGCAGCACCAGCAGTGGTAGGAGTAATAGTAGTAGTAATAGCAGCGGCAGCAGCAGCAGTAGTAGTAGTAGTAGTTCTGCTAGCTAATAACCTATTTTTATCATAGCTTACAGTAGAAATTACACACTTGACTTTTGACTTTTCCAAACCTCAGTACCTGACATATACAGAAATGGCATTCAAGAAAATAAAGTTGAGAAGAGAAATTGAACTATACTAAATATATACAGAG